GCCTTCCGGACTAAAATTCATAAGTCGTTCCGAGATTCATTTAGGGGTAGTTATAGGTTTCTAGATTGAGTTATCCCTTTCTCATCCACCATTAGGCGGTAGCTGAGAATCCTTCCGCTACTAGTAGCTGTGCTGTGTTGGCTCCGTTGCATCCCACATTTTGCTTGAACGTCAACTCATTCGTTGTCATCAAAACCCTCATGACCCGGTACCAAGCAAAGGGCTACCCCTACGCTGTTATGCATGCTTAATTAAATAACACTGGTTTACAGCAAAAATGTTCTATGGATGCCACTATCCAAATCCTACATAGAATTGCTCGGTGATTCCGAAAATAGTTATTTTTTTATATTAAGACTTTTAAATTGGTTCGTAAGATATACGTGATTAAAAGGAAAAAATTTTTGCAATAAGCTGTATAACGGTAAATTGCAAATATCTCGAAAACGTATCCATAGAAAAAAAAGTAACCCGATTTTCGGTATCACCGAGCAATTCTAACAAAAGCCAAATTTAAATTTGTGATCCAGTGTAATCAAAAGAATTTTTAAGTTGATGATAGTAGTTACATTAGAAATACATATGCTATCTTGCTATGGCCCTGATTCGTATGATGTACTATGTACACAGCTGAAATGTTAAGAATGCTCAAATGGCTATTTGGTTATACTGCAATGCTTTTCAATTACCTGTATGAGATTAGTAAATAAGTATATGATGTCAGTAATAATAATCTCATTTTACCAAATTTCAAATGTACCAACTCCGAATGCCAGAACCAGTGTACCAAAGGAGAAAAAAATTATCAAAAATCGTACCTAAAATGGTACATTTCGGCTAAAATGGTATCCGTGGCTACAGCCACCGAGAAATGCAACCGCTTATCAACAAAACGCTTGTCAAAATTTTGTTTTTTTGCACACTTGCTAAATAATAAATAATTATCGCCGCTAAAAATTTATTTAGGGCTAATTAACACACACTTTTATGGAAAAGTGTTTTTGTGAATACTCACTGTAAATATTTCGATTAATCGATTATTTCTCAATAATTGCAATTGATTCCAATTATTTTTTTTGGCTTGTGATTAATCAATCGATTTTTTTATTTTTGCCATCCTTAGTTATGACCCTGTTTTTGATAATCCTTCGGATAAACCGACGGATTTCTTCAAAAACACTTCTGCGTATGGCCTTTGGAAGCCAAAAGATTTCTATGAAGCGCTCATCCGAAATACTGAACGGGTCCGTGGTTTTCTGCAACAACATTATTTTGACACGCTAGCGGTTTCTTAAATTTCGTTGAGAACTAACTGCCATACGATTCAAACATCTTTGTAATCCATTCATCTTTACCTAAATACTTTTCCAACTGGAATGCACAGTTATATTTTAATTACATACATATTCTTATTTGATAGAACATGACCAAAAATTGTTTTTTAAATAAATTTATTCCTTTGATTGCTGTGTTTACAAATTAAACTTTACATTACTCATAAGCTGCAATAGCGACATCTTCAGCGGATAGATGTATTATAAAATCTCTTGAAGATATTTGGCGAATGAAAAGCCAGAATCGCTTTTTAGATGAATCGCCTAACTTTCGAATAATTTTTAGATTTTCGAATTTTGTAGATTTTTAGAATTTCAGAATCCGCCTGCTGATCTAGAAAAACGGTATACAGGTCAGGGTAGCCAACTAATTTTTGAGAATTCTCCGATTTCGAAAATTAAATTCGCCTATTTTTCCCGAAATTTCGTAAAATTCCCCACCATTACAAACTTATTACAAAAAAAATTATGTATTTTGATATATTGCTGGGAATTCTGTTTATTTTATTTTTAAATACATACCCAGCCAGCAAAATCATCGTAAACAAGCTCGTAATTGCATATTTTCTCGAAGAAAAACCGGATTAAATATCGTTTATGATAACCGTTTACGACTCTTTTTCGAGCACTTTTTCGCTTTAAATTGTGCATCGCCTACGAACAGTCGTAAACGGATCGAAAAAGCATTCGTATGCGAATATTTTTACGTCCGTTTTTTAATTGTAAACGAGTCTCGTAAACGATTAATTTACGTTAAAAAAGCGTTTTTTTACACTGCTTTATCTACTGTTTTTGAATGCAAAAAATAAAGGCAATTAATTAATTCAAATTATTGTAGTTCTTTTATTGAATGGAATTATAATTAATAAATATTTATAGTGCCGGATCTAAGTATTGGCATAGAGAATTTTTCGCAATGTATGCAAAGTTTTTTACTTGAATTTCTTTTCGCACATTATTTTTTTTAAATATAGTTAGTACTTTCAAATCAGATGTTTGAGAAAAATTCTAAGTATGCAGTTTTATATCCCATTATATTTTAGTATAACATAGTGCAAGCTTCAAGTTGCCAGAAAACCGAGTTGATTTTTGGCAATTTTTTCACGCAGTTTCTTCCATGCAAATTATGTGCGACATTTTTTTTTTGTATGGAAGAAACTGCGTATAAAAAATTGTCAAAAAACAAAGAGGTTTTCTAGCGATTCAAGTGTGCACTTTATTATACTAAAATTAAATGGGCTATAAAACTGCATACTTAAAATTTTTCTAAAAATCTGATTTGAAAGTAGAACTTCTTACTAACTATATTTTTATAAAAAACAATTAGAGAAGAAATCAGAATAAAAAACTTTGCATTCATGGCGAAAAATTCTCTGTGCCAATATTTTTTTCCGGCACTGTATATGTGAAGATATTTTCAGATAAATAAATATTAACAAACTATCTATTTCCAAATTAACAATTAAATAAGAGGGGTTTAATGTATATTATAAAGTAGCTGAATTTATTTTTTCTTTTTTGCCGATAGGCTGCCAATTTTTTTTTGCCGGTCGTGTGCATATTGGAAGTGCTTCTTTGAAACGGAAATAAAAACTTCTTCGTCGGAGTTAAATTTTTGACGAAAAGCACCTAAAAAAATAAAGTTAAAGATTAAACTCCATTGGAAATCGGAAAATTGAATTAAATAAAAAGTGGTAATAAATAATATTATAATCAGTACTTCTTATTGCCGCAGTCGTTGCCAAACCAATAGCGTTGCATTTGGTACCAGTTCCCTTCCACGAGAAAAGTTCTGCTACCTCATCTGTAATAATTCTTCTTAAACATTTATCTACATTTAAAATATTTATAGCTTCGAGTTCAGAAACCTATAAAGTGTTTAAAGAATGCAATAAAAATTATTTTATTATGGTTAATTATGTTTTTAGTTACCAATAATTGTTGTTTTTCACTTGAACTCCCAAGGTCTTTTCCTTAAATGGGCTTCTTGGCAGGACGCCCTCTGCAATGGTTGGTCTCTTATTGTTTCGAAGGGTACCATTTTCTTTCCTTAAAGCAATCACCTCTGAAAATAACCGCTCCAAAACAGCTCCAATTTTTGCATCCATCTGATTCACTTTTTCGTTTAAGGGGTCCACGGTTTTTTTTTAAGAAAGTGGTAGATCGTCCTTTGCTTTTGCACCAGTCTGCCAATAAATCACATACTTAATAATTTTCTTAAATTAAATATTTAACAAACTACTTACTTATAAAATATTGTGATTGAAGAAAAATTGTCAACAAAACTAAAATTTTTTCTTGTGCTGACAAATTATTACAAAGCTTTTTTCTATTATATTTTTTTGTTTTATCGTTTACGAGCTTTTCTCTAACTTTTTGGCGATACGAGAATCCCTCGTAAAACATAATGTTCGTAAAATGTACGTTTTCTTGCTGGCTGGGTATGTATAATTCATCTATGTATTCATAAACCAAACCAAACTTTTATTAAGTTTGTTAACAAATAAAGAATAAAAAAATCTACATATAACATTTACGTACATTTTGACAAGTTTTCACTTTTTGTTATATAATTTGGGTTATTTTTATAAAAATATAGTTCAGTCTTTAACAAAAGCCGTTTAAATCCAAGTTTCAAACTTTGTGCAAAATTAAAAAAAAATCAACAAACTTTGGTCAAAATTTGGAGCTTTTTAAGTAGAGTTTCTACAAAATTTTGAGTATGCAGTTTTGTAGCCTACTCAATTCTAGTACAAAAAAGTGCAAGTTTCAGGTACCTAAAAATTTTTGTTTTAGTTTTTTATGCCGAAGGTGTTGCGGTTTTCTTCCATATACAACAAATTATGTTTATTCGTTATATGAAAGGAAATGCTACAAAGAAAATTCTAAAAAATTAACGGTATTTTTTAGCCATTTGAAACTTTATTATACTAGAATTGAACGAGCTACAAAACTGCATACGGCTCATTCCACGGTGACGGTTGAAACATTTCAACTTACATATTTTTAAATCATTATGAAATTAGTGAAGCAAAAATGAAAATTATTCAAAGTTGGCATACCATAACATGGACAAATATATAAAAGCTATCATATTTATATGCCAGGAAAAAGCGAAATGATCTATTATCAGTTGCCGTGGCCTTACTCATTTCCTTTATCGCTTAGTAATACTTAATTATTTATTATATAAATATTCTATGTAGTTGTTGTAGCAGCAGTGCTCAACCCACCAGGTTCTGTCATGTATCGTCGTGTTCATCCTCCGACTCTGCCGGAGGCCGAGAAAGCGGGCAGAGTCGATAGGCGCGGTCCAGAGCGCTTCTGGTGTCAGGGTCGTAGGGTTGGAGGTGCATGTGAAGAGGCGCTGGGTGTCGTATGGACCTTGCCCACATGCGGGGCAGGTGTTTGCCACTTGTGAATTCAACCGGGAGAGGTAGCTGTTGAGTCGGTGACACCACCCCGAACGGAGTTGTGCTAGGGTGCACCTGGTCTATCCTTCTTCTGTCTCCTCTAAACCTATGGGCGGCGGTCGACCACTTAATACGATGGTTTCATTGCGCGTGCTGAGGCTCGTTCTGACCACAGCCTTAATTATTTTATGAGTTAGACCGCTGTTCAATAAGAAAACATAGCTTATTACACTGATTTCTTTTTTAATTTTAGGCATGTTTGAAAAACGTCGTTTTCGCAACTTTTTGGTTTACGTGCAGGATTTCAAAGAAGACGACCCAAAGACTTGGAAAGACTTCGATCCGACAAAATCGAATATGCAGGCACTTTATGACAAATTCGGCTTGGATAAGAATACACAAGATTTTACTGGTCATGCGTTAGCTCTTTATCGAGATGACGAATATTTAAATGAGCCGGCTGCGAATACTATTCGTCGTATTAAACTGTACTCTGATTCTTTGGCACGATATGGAAAGTCGCCATATTTATACCCCATGTACGGCCTTGGTGAATTGCCGCAAGGTTTTGCACGCCTATCTGCTATCTACGGCGGAACTTATATGCTTGATAAACCCATTGATGAAATTGTACTAGGTGAAGGTGGTAAAGTAGTTAGTGTACGCTCTGGAGATGAAATCGCTAAATGCAAGCAGGTCTATTGCGACCCCAGCTATGTGCCTGATCGGGTAAAAATAAAGCTAATGACTTATAATTTGGTTAAGATCCTTTTTCAGTGGGCACATTCTTGTGCCCACCTAGATTATGTTTCATTATATTTAAAAGGAGCATAACATTACTTCTATTGGAATATTCCTAAAGAACTATTTCCTCTTTGTAGGTACGTAAGAAGGGTAAAGTAATTCGGTGCATTTGCATTTTGGACCACCCAGTTGCGAACACCAAGGACGCACTATCTACCCAGATAATCATTCCACAAAAGCAGGTCGGCCGTAAATCGGACATTTATGTATCTCTCGTAAGCTATACTCATCAGGTAGCTGCCAGGGGCTGGTTTGTTGGCATGGTGTCCACTACTGTAGAAACTGATCATCCAGAAAACGAAATAAAGCCTGGCTTGGACTTATTGGAACCTATTGCACAAAAGTTTATCACGATCTCTGATTATCTGGAACCAATAGACGATGGTACTGATACACAGATATTTATTTCCGAATCATATGATGCTACTACCCATTTCGAGACAACATGTTTGGATGTTTTAGATATCTTTAAGAGAGGAACCGGCGAAGACTTCGATTTTTCGAAAATTAAGCACGAACTTGGCGATGAGGATCAGTAATTGTGTTTCGATCATATTTTTACAAGAAACAGATTCTGATGTGCACGCTGATATCATTGAAGAAGAACATGAATCAAAATTGCGCATGATATAAAATATAATCACATTACTATATATTACTATAAATGCTTAAATGAGCCAAACTGTTACAGCGAAATATTAATAAAAAAAGAATTGAAAATATGAAGGCTTGACACAAGGCACATAAGTACAGGTAGAAGCCATTTTGACGATGCTCTCATGAGCAGTAAACTTTCAAACTTCAACATGTTTTGCTTTTATTTTTCTATATTTCATTACTTTTGGAATGGCTTGTCGTTTTGTTTGAATGTTCGTTAATAGCAAATTTGAATTAAAATTTCAATTTTTGCAGTGCTGTGCAGTTAACTTTTGTGTATATGTAATTTGTGCGGTTTATGCTAATGTGTAATAATTAATATTATCTCGAACATATATTAAAAATGCAACACTTGAAGCGCTGTTTTCTATGAAGTTTCAAATATAATGCACACACACTTAATTTTTTTAAACGTCCCTCAATGTCTTTCGCGGAAGGAACGTAGGGAAAGCAGCTGTGATGTAGCGCTACCGGAAAGACCCTCCAACAACACTGAAACTCATCAATCAAGTTGTAATAGCTTAATAGACCCTAAATAAACTTCAAATTTACTCAAAAACGTCAGCCAGTGAAATGTAATTTTTTAATTTTCATTCCACTCCCTCAATCTCATTTTTACTCTCACGAGAACTTCGACCTTTAAAAGTTTGTCGTCAAATTGGCTTCTAGCTGTTTTTAATGTACCTTGGCTTGCCACATGTATTGCGCCATTGAAGTAAAACATCTATGCTTACTCATTCAAACCCAAAAAAGTATATATCAATTGAAAATGCACATCGCCATCGATGGTGATGAGATGCATCTCATTGATGTAAATATGTTTAATCGCGAACTTCTTTTATTAACAGAACTTTTTTAAATGTCATTTTTAATTCTATTTTTATTCTATTTCTATTTTTTACATGCATGTATATAAAAATATATCTTCACGTTTTTGAAGAGTTCGCCGTTGATTAACGCCTTCACATGATATATTCTTTTCGCAGAAAGGTTTATGTTTTATTTATGGATAATAACCAATCGTTTAGAATTTGAGAATAAATGAAAAAACAATAGATGACCAGGGTTAGATCCATGATAAAAAAATAGGAAGGTAGAACCACTGAAAGGAATTTTTCAAATTCTTGACGTTTGCAAGCAATTTAATTTAAAAATTTTACACACATTCTCATTTTCAATCTCAAACAACAACTTTAAACAATTCCTTTTTTTACTCACAATTTTATATGATTTTAAAATGTTGGCAAACTTCAAAAAAAAATCATGGCCGACGAGTTGAGAGAACGGTTTTACCTTACTATGTTTTTATCATGGTAGATCTACTTAAATACAAGAATATCGGCAACATATAAGTAACTGCCATTCAGAATAAATAGTTCTCATAACAGGTCTATTCTGCGCTGGTAATAAAAAAATTGTAACCGGTAAGTAAAGTTCCTGTAAATTTTTAAACCTTTTTCGCATTCTGTGTACTCTTGTAACCGGTCAATTTTGTTACCATCTCATAAGCTGGTAACATAGTATTGCTCCGTGGAATATCAGAATTTCCACAATTTTTCATTGTTGAATTGCTGATTATTTTAACGTACCTAGAATCGCGGTGACAACAACTGTATATATTTTGGTAATACAGTTTTCCGGTTACACAATTTTTGGTAACGTGCAGAATAGACCTGTGAATGTAAAATTCAGTTTCTAGTGGGTCTCAAAATAAAAATGAAATTCCAAGGACAATATATCAGATGGCGCACAGTGTTTCGACTATATGGAGGCAGGTGGAAATAATAGTTAACGTATACCGATTTCGCTGAAACTTTACATGTGCACTAATTTTGCTTAGGAATAGAAAGTTATGAAATTTGGTAAATATAGGATAATTGCCACGCCCGCCACTCTTGTGGGCGGAAACATTAAATTTCATCCGATTTCGATGAAATTTAGTTTATAATCTCTATTTAATTAGACAACCCTAAATATAAAATGTGGGGAAGAATGGATCACTATTACGTCTAAACCTCGCAAAAAATGTGGGCCCAGTAGTTAAATGTGAAGGAATTTTGGTTGGTTTTCCATTTCTTGCTTTCCACTCTCAGAAAACAAAGGGTTTACAAAAAAAATTACATAGGTGTAAATATTTTCCTTTATCCCATTATTTGGGGTGGTTTTTAAATTTTTCGAAAAATTCCTTTCGCGAAATTACGCAAAAAGATGCTGAAAATCGAAAATTAAGAAAATAGAAAATTACATATGTTCGCAAAGTCGCGCGAAAAGATCCAATTCTATAAACGAAAAAAAATGATCTGAAATTTTGTATTTATGACTTTTACTTTTGCCTCTCTAAGCCCAACTGGTTTTTTTACCTCTCTTTTATTAGCTCGGGATGCAACTATGTAATATTGATGCGCCTAAAAGATGCAGCGATTTCTGTTCTCAAGTTAAATACCTGATGACAGTACGAATGGAAATTATTATAGCGAGGTTTTGGTTTTTTAAACTATAATTTTAGTATCGACTGTCACCATGACTTTTTTTTACAGCTGCCGCCATATAGTCGAAACACTGTGTGGCGTGTCAATCTTTGTACTCCCGCAATTTTGCCTAAAGTTAAATGAACTCGAAGAACATTATAAATACATACATAGAGAGTATTGCTGATACATTATTAACTCCCGTTTTACTTGTGCACCTTAGTGACATTATCTATCATTTATGCAAAAAACGGTATTTCAAACATGTATGTCAATAATAAAGGCTTGCATTTTAAAAATAAATGGATTGATTAAAAAATTTGATTGTATGATAGTCGTGTTTTCCTGACAAATTTTTGTCGTTCGGATATAGTAAATGCTATATGGATAGGGTTCGTGTTGGCCACAAAGTATTCATGATATCGGTTTGTTCCACATGGGTTCGCACATGATGCGGTCATTAATATAGGTCATGTACTTATCGCACATCTGATGCAAGGTGCCATAATCCAAAAATATATAAAAAAAGTTAGTTAAATATGCAGAAATGACCGCTACCTGTTCTTCTATCTTGTGTAAAAACTGCAACCGATTACCGGTAGCTCATCCATTCCCACGACAGCCGGTTCTACGTACCGGAATGACTCGGGACCTACCCGTTCAAGAGCTACTGTGTCGGCGACCTAACCCGGTTTAGATCGGCGATACCCTTCAATAATCTTACGTCCATGAAGCAATCGTTCATCGTTACGTTCCCGCATTCCGATCCAAAAGAATCGAACTTAGGTATTCTGCGTTACGATCGAATCGAAAGAGGAAGAGGAAGAGAGAAAACATCTTTTGGAAGCAGCTGTTTGCCTAGGAATGTGTGAAATCGAAACAAAACAAAGAAATATTTGCCACCAAACTATAGCAGTTTATGAAGTTAAAGTTTGTAAATATTTTAAAATAACTAAATATATCTAGCATCACTGTAATTTAAAAATAAAATTTCGTTCGCTCTTAATTTAGTGAAAACATAATTATAAGAATGAAATCCATAGCAGCGGTGTTATTGCTCGAAGAGGAGAACGTGTCCCAGATTGCTGATGCGGAAGTTGAAAGGCGGAGATTTAGGCGCATGTTTGATCTTTTTCAGATGAGTGAAGAGTCATAAACTCATAATGAACTGTATTACTCACCGCTCAAAGCCAGTGAAATTATAAACGTTGTTTGAGCACTCCAAAACATTTGCATTACTACAGAGGGGAATATTTGAACGCAAATGAGTTCGATTTTGCAAGCCGTCAGGAGGAGCGGAAGAACAAAGCTTATCCTTCCATAGCAAATCGAATTCGAGACAACATACGCACCTCTTTTTAAAAAGTTAGTAAGAACGAGTGCAATAATAAAAACATCTTTTTTATGTAACTTCACATTTTATGTATGTATGTATGTACATATGTACCAGAGATCAGCAACGACATTTATTTACTGTACCACTCAAACTCAATAATACTTAGTAACGAAATCTACCGCCACCGCAATCACCGCAAGCTCAAATAACGTCGTGTTTGAGTGTTTTGTGCTCGATCAAAGCGTCGTTACTGCATATTGTGGCACCGCATTTTCATGTCGGCTTCGGCTATGCGGTGGTATGAGCGGTCGTTTAAACAACGCATACATCGCATTACTTGCGGATATGCTTGTTTGAATGCGGTGCACTGCATTATACGAAATAAAAATGAATTGAATTAAAAAGAATACATATTACATATTTTGTGTATTTAAATTTGACTAATTGTTCATATTTATTAATTTTTTTGTAACATGCATACATAAAAACTCTGTAGGCAACTGCAGCGATAAAATGCGCTGCACAAATACCTACATATGCTCTTATATCAAGCATATCCGGAAATAATGCGATGTTTGCGATGTTTACACGACTGCTCATACCACCGCATAGCCGAAGTCGACATGAAAATGCGGTGCCATACTATGCAGTAACGACGCTTTGGTCATGCAAGTCACCGCAAACACGAACGAAACAAGAAAAGCGATGCACACAAATATCGCATTGCTTGCGGTGGCGGACATACTTACACCGCATTGTTTGCGAGTATACTTGAAGTCTCGGAAAAAGGCACCGCATGCTGATCACTGGTATGTACATACTAGAGGTTTACGCCGACAGGCTTTGCGGCGGCGGCGTGGTCAACTTCAAAAATAATCGGCGGCGGCGGCGACGCCGGCGCGTCTGGAAACGCCGGCGCTACTGCCCATAAGGTAGATTCCAAAGAGCCATGAAGCTTCTAATCTTATTATGTCATCAGATTATAATTCTATTTAATTCATTCATTGACTGCTGCCGAACAGGAGAAAGTCTATATAGTACATACATTAGGTTTACCATCGAAAATGCTTTTTTTGAAAATTTAAAGACCCAACCGCCTAATTTGATTCGTTTTTATGAGAAATATTATTGCCTATTTTTATAGATTTTTTAAAGGCCATTTAGAGGTCGCGGCCTGTCGATTTAGGTCAGAAACTACGATTTTCTAGTTTCATGAGTTTTTGAATGACTATTTTTGCTTGAATTTCACAGAATTTTTTTAAAATTTGACCATCGATAATTTCCACAATTTGAAAATATGTAGTACTAACGTACAAAAAAACGATTTTCGATGGGCACCCTAATATACATACATCTCTATGTACTCTGCAAATCCGTATGTACTATTTCAATTTAAAGAAATAAAAAAATGTAAAGGTTAATTTATTGGGGTAATTTATGTCGCTATCAATAAATTTTTGCAATAAGCTTATCAACCGTTATGTTAAATTACGGAGTTCTTAGTATTTTTTGCGGGTTATATATTGAAAATAAGATTGGCCTACTTTTTTCCAAAAGTTTAACCCATCAACTCCCACCAGAACGGGTCTTTTTGACCCACTGTTTGAAAAATGGCTTATAAATGGTTAAAATTTCCACTAATATATTAAGCGCCAAATTTTTCTAAGGAGAGCAGAATGTAATGCAAAATAATAGTAATTTTTACCAAAAAGGGGGACTTTAATTCTGTGTAGGAAATATTGCGATGCGCGAGAGCAAAACCTTCCTGGGGTTTGACCACTACATAGGAATACTAACGTAATTTTTACACAGCCACCTATTTCTTGTATACGTCTGTGGGACCCCAGAATAAAGTAACTCACGAATGTAAAAATTAGCAAAAAAAGTGTTTGCTTTTTATTAAAATTCTGTTTAAAATGTTAAAAAAAAAACACAGGAAAATCACTAGTCTTTGTTTTATCTCCAATAATTGAGGAGTTAGATGCAATAAGGGCGCTTCTGTTAAAAGAGCTTTCTGAGATATTGGCGTTAAAGTATAACTTTCTTGTTGATGTAGTATATAAAAAAGTAGTATTGTTGTAGTATTAAAAAAAATTTTCTACTGCGGAAAAAATCGTCAGATTACCAGTATTCGACCCTAATTTAACTGTAATAAACGCTTTCGATCGAAAAACGTGTTACATATGTTTTTTTCTGAGTTACGCTTTTTTCTTAATGTTCAGTGGCCCAAGTTATGCAAAAAAAAAACCCC